AAACACTACAAGTTCATGTAAGTCTCTGTGATGTACCAACTATCTAATTGTCGTACTTGTATTGAGCAACAGGTCGAGATGGGGCTAGATAAACTGCCAAACGTTCAATAAGCCGAATGTACGTAGAAAAAGAGATAAACGCACTTTCGTGTACTTAGGTGAACAATACCATGGGGCTTAGACAATGACGTGAATCACGAACGAAGAAGAGGAAGATGCCATATCTCTCCGTTTCGGCACGTCACCGCACCATACGAAACTTGTGAAGATAGCTAAGATGACATAGTCACGAAGCGTACTGAAATGTGGTGAGCAAATCATGGAAGAATCATGAAATACTACCGTGTTAAACAAAGCCAACATGGGGGAAATTTGGCGTGATACCTACACACTAAACGGGCACTGCACAGATATGGCATAGCCCTGAACTCAGTAATTAGTCATATTAGGCTGTACACTTACCAAAGCAACTTGCTGTAACGATTGAATGACGATGATGCTGAGCTTGGTAATCTGGTTGCATACGTTTCGCCACCATGCTAGGCGGTATGGTTAGCGCAGTGATGGGTAGTGGGCCATCTTGCGTTATCGTCATTCTGTCACTCCTGTAAGTTGACTGAATATAGTTGCATGCCAATATGACTAATTGCTGACTTCAATGTCACGTCATATCTGTGCTGCTCCCGTTTAATGCGTAAGCATCATCAAATGTACTTCATATTGGGTTTATTTGGCAAGATCTCATTTCACGATTGCACCAAGCTTTGCTCACCATCTTTATATACGCTTCGCGATTACGTCACATTTGCTAACCTCGCACTGTCTACATCATTCATCTGCCGAACTGGTATGAGTTTCAGATTTTAATTCTGTTTCCGCCCATACCCATTCCTCACCTGTTATGATGCTTTCAATATGGCTGTTCCGAAACATGGTGCACACTATTTCACTAGTGACCTCATCGTCATTTCTCTTTTCAACTTATGTGTTTCGTTAATGGGACTATGCTATCATTTTCGCTCTCTGGACACTTCTATGCTTTTCATCTGCATAAAGCATACACTGCAGATGGCAACCGAGCGAACGGAATGTTTCTTCAAACCCGCATTTCACCCAGGTTACAAAATTTGAGCCGCGTGTGTGCCTGGTGATCCAAGTTTGCTCTAAACCCTGATGACTCTCTTGGTTAGTGTGGGCAGTGGTGCCCTCCATTTCTTCGCTGTTTTCTCGTAAGTTCCTTGCGTTTGAACTTGTCCTTCTTCGTTCTGTTAATGTGTCTGTGTGGGGCGGTCGCTTACACACTCCTAACATCCCGATGTTCTCTGGATATCATCAACTTCACCGAAATGCTCCATCATCACAACTTCACCCTTCTTGCTCGTGTGCTTGTAACATTTAATTAACTATCGCGGCCCCCTGCACACGAACCCTTTACTGTGGGTCCCGTTCCCGACTCACCTCGTATGTCGCTTCTTACTCTTACGATGTCTCATTTGTTTCAAGTTGCATCGGGCTGTTTGGAGTTGTTACAATCGTTGCATTCTGTTGGGTGCACTGCCGCGGACGCTTTAATTTTTAGTCATTGAAATCCGTGGTACTCCATTGCCTTGCTTCCATCACAGCCTATAGGCCTCTGGCAGAGTATTCATTGCTAGCACACGGTCACATCGTGAGTGATGATCATTGTGAATCACTAATGACCATCCACTTAATAACTCCTAGCGTCATGTTTTTGCTGGTTCTTTCGCGCGTCGTGTTGTTTGTTGTGTGACTAATCTCAGAGCAAAATGTTTTAACCCATGTCGTTCCTTGGCAACTGAGATGCATTATTTGTTCCAAATAAACGCATTTTATGACGTGCACAGAGACTAGCTTTCCTTGTTTGGTCAAGACAAATAGTTGTAGTCCAGTGGTTCCCTGGTTTAAAACGCACCACTAGCCCTCCATTGATTACCCTTAATTTCAATTTCCTTAGCATTAAAAAAATCGAGTACATAGAGGCTTCTAGATGGAACCGATGATCGTTTTCCCCGACCGAATCAGTATTCACTCGAATTTCCTTCTTTCCTTGCTAATCACCAGCACCCAGCTCCCTGAATGCGGTTGTGTACCATCCGGTAGGCAGTCTGCACAGCGCGACTTACTTGCTCTGGTGTGTGTGTGTTTGTGTGTATGTGTTGAATTAGTCTGATTCTCGGTCAGCATATCACTGAATACTTGTTCATTTGCTGTACTTCCGTCACCACTTTTACCACCCACCAGCTACTCCGTCTTTCTCTCCCCACACCCCCACGACGCGAGGCTGATTGCTTGTGCTCACCCGATTGGTGGCTTGAAATGGGCCATTTTTAATTGCCTCCCAGTTCCCCAGTCAAGTTTGCTGGATCAAGATCGATGCCTTTTCCACTCGCACTTGTTTATTTTCCTGGTCCATTTTTGTCCACCTCCTATAGCACAGGCTTATGCATCGCTGTTGATCTTCCCAACACTAGCAGTGTTGGGGCGATCAACACCGAAACATTTCCATTTCGGATACGGTCTTTGCGATCGACATGACGGAAATCTATCTCAAGGTAGACCTAGGTCTCAATAAAAGTTGCGCGTCGCAACCCAACATCACAACGGGCTCTGAAAGTTCAACTTTGATTTTGGGTTGCAAACTTTCACTTGTATAACGGAGACGCATACTGTTTTCCCACTTCACGTGAGACGGTGTGAACTTTACCGCCATTTTAGTTTTTTTAGCGTCCCAAAGTTGCATTACACACATTCAGAAGCTTACTGCTCCCATCCTCTCGGTCTTTTACACATTTATCCTTGTTTTGATCCTTTGGTGTACGTCGGCTTGTGTTCAATGCTGAGGGTAACCAAGCGGTATCTACTATTCATTCTAGTAGCATGCATGTTTGGGTTCACAAAAATACAAATTTCCCATGTTGAGTTCCATTTTAACTGCGAGAGTTGATGAATCTTAACTACACTGGCTTTGCCTCTGTGCGAGTCACAAACGATTCACTGGGATATACATTATGATGGTATTTGTCATGAAACGCACATCGCGCGAAAAGCACCGTGCTATTGGTGACGTTGCATCGCTCTAAAAGACAAACCTGAGCGGTTTCTCTACTGCATGAGTTCTTGTAACTGTAACAACTTCCCTCTGAGCTAGCCGGGGCAAGCGAAGCATGTTAATGTTACGACATCTCAATTTTTTGCCAGCTTTATACCCGGCATGCTCATGCACGGTTGCATACTATCTTGTTTACCAGATGGGGTAGAGTTTCTGTGACCAAACTCTGAATCCGTTGCTATGCAGTCCATACTAAATAATGCAACGCGTGGTATTGTGCACTCCAGTATGTTCTTCGCAACCCTCAGTGTGCAATGTGCTCTTACGCTGCGTGTCATGCACACCGTCAGTAATCACAATCACCGAAGATCCGCTCGAAAAGATGGACTGTTTCGAGCTGGATAGCCGAACAACCTCCGCTTAGTGCCTGCTGGTGGTTCGGGTTTAACCCGTTCCAGCAAATAGTTCGGCAGCAGTGCACCTGGACTTGGTGGATATTCGCCTGGCAAGCGTTCTGCCTATATAAATCCACAAATGCCTGCTTATCAACACTGCGACATGGCGAATGTGTATCGAACAAACTAAAATCACTGCGCTGTGGATATCCGGGAAACGCAGTCCAACCCACGGACATCAAGCGCTTATTCTCACACTCCTTACGAGTATAAAACATTCATAAATGATGCGGCACCTTCACAAACACAAGCTACACAACTACACTTATACACCATTACATACGTAAATACACCCATACACACATTCACTGTCATTCAAACATGCATTTTTGCACATTTTTGATCACACTTGTTAGTTTAACATGATTATGCCTGCAAAGTTGTGCCTCACCTTGTCGAGAATAAAAGTTTATTTGTTTATTTATTCATTTGCTTGTATGTTTGTATCTTCATCAGTAGCCGCATTACTGAGATAACCATACACACTTCCAGGGTTCTCATAGCCTTCTAAAGCTTCATTCGCTTAGGAGAATGGTGGGATATTTGGCTTTCGGTCTGAGAGGGCCTTTAAAGTTTTGCTTTGTAGCCAAGGTTACCGTAGGCATTGAGGAAATGACCCACACTGACCATGTTCGATCACCGATATGTTTGCAATGTCCTTATCCGTTGTGCAAGAGCAGAGCGAGTAGCGCTGGGAATCTCCATTGATGTTCGGAAGTTTTCCATCAGGTACTTAACTAGAGAGCATGTTGACTCCTATCGATCTCACCAGCACGGAATTAGGCTTAGCATACATGCGGTTCGGCTGCTACGACTTTCATTAACAATATCAGATCTTAGACACTCCGTCGTACATGTCCCAATGACAGTGTAATCGGCGCTTTCACATTCGTTTCCTTTTCCCTGGTTTCAGAATACTCCAGCTGGCGAATTGATTTCTTACGCGTTACTCTTAACTTATCGCCATGGCTTTCATACCTTTGGTGGCTTCTTAAAGCAAACAGATATCAACTGAATTCCCTTCCTAAATTCACCGGTCAAATCTTTTCTATGGAGTTCAGTTGCATTGCACATTGGAATGTATTTCTTCGAGCACTGTTGTCCAAGGTACGTATGCCCTGGTTAATCGACGGAATCAGCTGACTGATGATTCGCTATTTAACGCATTAAGTATGCAGTCATTTTGCCTACAACGGTCCAGATAGACAGGCTGCTAAGTTATGTACCTTCGCTTCCACCGAGTGCCTGCACATGCAACTGTTATATACTGGCTCCATATCGATTTGTCCTTGCCTGTTTCCAGTCTTTGTACTTGCATTCATGTGCCTGTTTTTCCTATCTACATCCTTCCGCATTGCAGCCTGCGGTCTGCTTTGTGTGGCCTGCCATTTTCATTTAGTGTGCTACTGGCAAATTTTTCTTATCTTTCACCACAGGTAAGTGAACCTTCATTAACCACACACTTTCAAAAATACATGAACAATTTGTTTGGTGGTTGGCGGCACATGTGTGCACTGGATTCTGCCGGAAGTCCTCAACTACGCGGATTCAAAGCCACCGAAATAAACGACGACGACGTGTTGTCACTGACCAGTGACAACGCAGCACCTTCCTCGAGCGGTTTGGTCTCCCAACAGTGCACTGTGATGGCCGCCTCCATCAAAGCACAATCTGATGGGCAGCAGTCGATTAGAGCCCGTCAGCAACACTGAGTGTAAGCGTGGACAAGGAGATACGCTTCTCCTTCCAGACACAATATGTATTAGTCAACATCGAGCATTGCGGCGTCCCATTGCTTTCATTCATGCTGACCTGCCGCTGTTCCCACTATCCGCATTTGCATAGCAGTCTTATCGGAACTTGCCGTCTCCGTTATGGTAACTGACTGAGGATGATATGAGATCATGCTTTATGTCTTTGTCCGTTACTTTGATATCTCTTGGCTGTTTTCATGCCCATGTATGTTCCTTGTTTAGTTTAGGTGTTGTGTTCTGTTGCAAATATTGAGTGAGTGTACCACGAACACCTTTCCAGAAAATGAGAGACTGACATTGCTTCCAGCTGCTTTCGTAACCAAATTTTGCGTCCATCTCCACTTGTCCCGCAGTGCTTAAATATTTATGATTTTCCAACGTCCGTATGCCGTTTGAGACCGGCAGTTACAAATTAATTCTGCGTTATCGTGTATTTTAAGCATTTACCACTCTCCCTTGTATACTAATCCTTTGGGCACTTCTCTCCCTTAATAGCTTGCCGCCTCCTACCTCAACAAATACAACTAAGCCGATTGTCTCCATCACATTGTATCCTTAACATCCAGTGGATTGGATTTGTGCCACCACATGCCAGTACTGCGCTCTCCTCCACCTGAAGGTCCATCAGATTGCACGTCGGTTTTTCCAGTACCTCCAAATAGATTTTACCTCTCTATTTTAATGTCCCAAGTTATCACTACCATAGACATAGCGGTGAATGAACTTTTAGCATGGTACTTCGTCAATTCGCCTGACATACTCAAAGCGCTACAGTGCCAATACACAGACCAGCTCAATCCGTCCATAAACTATGGTTTGGGTGAAATGCGATGGAGCTAGTCGATTTGGCTCACGTCA